CCCCCACCCAACCAGCTTGACAATTCGAAATGAAACTCACACAAGTGTGCACCTGTGTAGTGGCTGAAGCTCCCTATGCGTTTGTGTAGAGAAGTCTCAAAGAAATAACGATCACGGCGCACGTTCAATCGGCGGCTACCATCTGTACCTGGTATCTTGTAGACGGCAGCGTGAACTGTCCGCTTTTTCTTTCGCCTCTCCCCAGCTTCTTCTTTAATACTATATATATACATTCGGTGGTGCTTCTTGCCATACAGGAGAAGAGGTGAGAGAAGAACAACATTGGCAAAAGGGAATACAAGCCCAACGAGTGAGAGATGCAGTTGGGTGAGGAGTGAGAAAAGAGGGAGGGTGGAACAGAGTGCCGTGGCCGTTTAAAAACCTAACGACGACGAGAGCCACAAACGATGGGATCGCGAGGTGTAACTCAGAGAGCCCCCGACCAGGGCTGCCTGTCCTCCTTGCGCCAGTGGGCAGAGGGGGCTACCTTGAATTATGGCCTACGGGTCACTCGCAACACGCTTCGTCGTTTAACCCTCGTACCGCGCGGGGGCCACTCGATGAGAGGTATTCACGCAGAAACCGCTCGAAAAGAGCCACTTCACCTGCTTTCGCGGGCCCTCCCGAATCCTTCAGGAAGGACATTTGTCGGGTTTTTTCCCCACTAAAGATTAATCTGCGGAGGATGTACAGGAAAACGTTTCTAGTTTGTGGTGAAAATTTCTAGGTTCCAGTACTCTGTAGTACGGAAATCTGGAGACTGAAGAGTCATGGATTTCTGTGAAATTGTCACTTGCTCAGTTATTCATTTTAAGGGGTAACAGAATGCCGCGAATTATCAAAATTTTTTAACAAATTTCATGCCAAAAGTTACCGATATTTTTACAAATCAAAGCACATTAATCGTCAGAAAACGAGAATGAAGATCAGTGTGCTGTGGGTTTGAAAAATATTAATAAGTTTGACCAGGAAATTTGTTGGAAAATTTCGAAGAAACGGTGGCCTTTTGTTATCCCTTAAGAGGATTTTCTATGAGACTCAGAAGATAAATTTCCAGTTCCTAAAATTTTTACTGAAATCTAGTATCCATTATAGTTGAATTCAGGCACATTTTCTGTCATTTTGAGCCACACGAAGAAAAATTCTAGCGCTAACACGGGAAAAAGGGCGCAAAGTGACGGTCGGGGAAAAATTCCAGCGCCGGCAGTGGACATTTTATTGAGTAGCACATGAATTTTTTCCCTTATATGAAATTTTATCAGAAAACCGTATGAATTTTACTTCAAATTTTTCGTAACTGGTGAATTGGGATTTTTTCCAGTTTCATCACGAGAATTTTTATACAGAATTTCTCTCTGTGCACTTTTGGTTCTTGAATTCAGTACTTTTTGGTTTTCAAAATAAGACCCTGGGGATTCTTGAATTGACATTTTCATCTTTTCTGACGATCTTCGTTAATTATGGTGTGACATCACAACCTAGGGACTCTCCTCCGTCACAAGTCGTCACGAATTACAGAACCCCATCCTTAATTCCAAAGACTTTTGTGATTGAAAATTCATAATTCTGTGGGAAAATCAATAGAAACTAATTATTCAATTATTCAATGGTAACTTATGGAATCAGGAAAATTTAGTTAACTACATTCTTGAAAGAAGTAAACTATTTCCAGTAGCTTAAATCTCAGAATGTTTGCGCTTCACGGATAAACTTTAATAAATTCTCATTTATCACTATCGTTCCACGTTACATCATGAATATATTACATATCGAAACATTAGAGGTACATAAAAAAATAGAGAAAACAATAAATACATGAAGATTGACGATCATTTTACGCGGTTCGAGTGAGATCACTTGCGACAAAATCAGACTTGAGTACAAGAATATTTTAAAGCACGAGACCTTTCTCGGGTCGCGTGATTCAAGTTGCCTGGAAGAACTAAGCAATTGACCAAAAATTACTTGTCTCAGGTAAATATGTTCCAGATATTAGAATTTTTTTTCAGTGCACTGATAGAAAAAATTCGTTATTCTTAACAAATACACTTGGTTGGAGGCTAGGGTCATTTCGGTCTCACCATATGCCCCATCAAAAAATATATAAAAAAATGTATAATATGGGCCAATTCCATACATTTGTCAAATTTATGAAGAATATATTTTTAAAAAAATATGAAACATATTTTATATAATTATGTTATATAAATTGGGCCAATTTAAGATATTTTTTTTTACATATTTTTCAGAATATAATTTATTCCGCATGGGATGTTCATCGTTAGTAGTTAACTAATCCATATTTGAGGAGACTTGTTTGACTCGACATTCACAGTTCAAGTGAACCATTCATTAGCTATTAACGAATATTTATTTGGTCATATTCAATTCTGCCATTCGTTAATAACTGATGAATCTCGTTTGGAATAACTGAATCATTCTACCCCTGTGTAGAGACTTTTTTTCTTCATGACCACTCCAGGGAAAATGCGAATGAGTACCACTGTTCTGGTGACAATATTTCGTTGTGACAATGTATTGGGTACCAGAGAATGGACAAATACATTGGGTGTTGGGTGAAACCACGCAACAAGGCGCCAACGATAATCATACAAGCCCCGTGCTCGCTCGTGTGGACGGGTTGTCTTATGCGAGCATGCGCGAGGCTGTATCACGATAGTTACCAACGATATACCAACCCGATGCAACCCCGGTACGGGTGAGTTTTACACGTGTATGAGTGATCGCTACATACATAGACGAGAATAGGAGAAGAATTTAGAGCCACCCCTTTACCCCTTCCCTCACTTGAATTTAGACGGAAATTTCGCTCACTCAACGGGCGTGATACTGCAGTTATGCTAGTGCGCGAGTTTACACGTTTATCTAGGCGTTTACCCACGTATTGTGGTATTCTGAATAATATGATAATAGTGACTGTTTGGGTGGAGAGGGGTGGCTGACAGTTGGCCCTCGAAAATTTTCAGTGAACGACACGCGCATTAACGTGACTCGAATTGCGGCGAAAACAGTATTGAAATGGTGAGATTAACAATGAAACGTGAGGGGATGACAATATGTTTGAATCGTTGGTACGCATATAATACGCTAAAATGGAGGGATATGGATGGGTAGAGGAGGAAAACAAAACGACTGGTTTTTGAATGAAAGGAGGGAGGGGATGGGTGAAAAAAAGGAGAGAGAATGAAAAATAAAAGAGGGGCAGTGTAGACACCTCTCTATGGGCGCGTTTGTTTAGGTCCCAAACAGGAGGGGCACTCGAGCCACTAATCTATTTAGCCATGGTGTTTGATATGGAATTAATGAGGACCCCAAAGCGTTACCCATCGGCATCACTTTTATTTCCCTGGGAAGTAGACGTTCTGGCGCTGTCTATTGCAACGGGGGCTTGAGGATACTATTCCCTCAGCGGCTGGAGCTCCTTTTAATACTGTAAAAGAGTAGCCAGCTGGCCTTTTTGGCGTTCCACCGATGAGATTCCAATCTCAAGACCTCTCTCCCTCCTCCACCCTCCGCCACATCCTTTATCTCCATCGAATAATCTTCCAACGAGAATTATTCTTTTGTTTAGGAGTCTTTAATTGCTGAATCCATCTGATCGGTGATTTTAAATTCAAATACATCATTCGAATTGAATTTTCATTGTTGTTGTTTTTTTTCTGTTGATTTTTAGTGTCCTGTGACAGTAAGCGCCGCACTCGTTTCATCCTCACCGTCACCCACTGTGCCAATACTGAGCATAGCGGCGGCGGCAGCAGCAAGTGGTAATCATTCCCTGACAACGCCAATACCAAGTACAAGAATGGCTGTAACTAGTGCAGTTGTTAGGCCACCAGGAAGTCCAACGACCTCGGTAAGTCCATCCCAGCCACATCCACCGCCATCAAGTGCCAGTGGTGGGCCAGGACCAGGGACAAGATGCTGTGATACTGGTAGACCACTGTTCAATGATCCAATAACGGGTCAAACAATATGCTCGTGTCAGTATGAGCAGTCGTTACTCAGTGGTTATCAGCGTCTCGGTGGTATTGCACCAGCTGCATTGTCAATGTACAGTGCTCCTTATGCAGCTGCAGCAGCGGCAGCCGAGGGAATGGCATATCTTCCAACATTTGGCGCTGAACAGTCACCTTTTTATACGCCCACGGTAAGCACTTGGTTTTACACGGTTTTCATGAGGGTTACAGCAGGAAAAACAGATGTGCAATAGTGCTTCGATAATCGATAGACGCTGAGACACTCACTGACATCGTGTATTGTACACGTGACACATTCCAATTTAACCCTGTTATTCAATGATACATGTCATCGAATTTTGTAACAAGAGATAATTCAGTAACGACAGAATTCAAATTAGGGTTTTTTTTTGTTTCATTTCGGTGGAGGGAATTTGAAATTCATTGAAATGAGGCGCATGTTGTGTGTGGTATGGGGACTTGTTTACTAATCGATTAAAGATTCAGGCCTAATGACTTTTGAAAGACAATGGAGACCGGTCATTCCGTGGTTCAGAGGTTTCCAGAATAATAACTCAGCCATTATGCATAACACTGGTTAATTATCTCTTATCGAATTGTTGGGTCTTATGCCGTTTCTTTTTTCTATTACGGGGAGAGAATAAGATGGTAAAAATTAGTATTGCCATAGGAGGGAATACTATGACCACATAGTAAAAGGTTTTTTTTTGTCATAACAGCTGTAGGCAGTGATTCATGGACGCATAGCGTCCAAAATATTGTTCATCACACGGCCTCAAAAAATTTTTCTACCTCATATAATTGCTCATATTCCCCAGAAATTTTTTTTCGGCCTAATGATGAAATATACTATCAGTTGACTGCATGGAGAGAAAAATTCAATGAAAATTACCAGAAAAAAAAAGTAAAAATTACGTTTCGAAACGGAATCCGCGAGTGAAGTAAAATTCAATAAAAAGTGTGAGTCGGAACTGAAATTGTACGAATCGCCACGTAAATTCTACGATTTGTTCAGTAAAAATTAACCAGCCGTCTGATGAGTCACCGTAATCACCAAGTCGTTCCGTAATTTTTCCCCAACGATTGAGAAATTTTATGGAACGGAACGTAGAAATAACGCACCAGCTTCATAAAAATTGTGGAACGTTTGGAGGCACAATAATTCGACAAGTTTCTGTAAGATTTTACTTCTTCGGGAAAAATTACGTGACAATTTCGTACTTTGTTCGGTGATGAACTTGAAAATTCACTGAACATTTCAGATTTCTTCTCTTCCATTCCTATAAAAATTGCCGGAAAACGATTCCCTCTTGCGGATTACGTGAATTGTTCCGTAATTTTTACTGCTTATGTCTCTCCGTGTGTATATTCCTCGCCAAAATGAACGGTCGTAGCTGGATATCCCCCACTCTCTCGAAATTAGCTCCGACTCAACGTCCCCCACCACTCAGATCCAAGATCTTTCTTTCCTGGCGGCGACGATGCATAGTAATGCTTACTATGTCACTTAGTAAATAAGACAGTGGCCCATGGAATGCTCTGCTATGTTGCATGTGCTGTGGTAATGCTTACATTTCTCATGGTAATGCTCACAATGTTCCACTGATATTTTCGTTCAAACACAAAATACGGCTTCCAGCACTCTCATCGCGAATAAAAGTAACAAATTTCCGTAAAAATCTCTGAATTTCAGGAATTTGTCATACCAATATCAAGTGAGCATAAACCTCATCAAAAAATCATTTCACATCGGTTTAAATGGGAGATACGAAAGTGAAAACGGGAAATTCTCGGAAATTAGAAGCGACAAAGTGGGCCCCCTTCCGTGCATTCATTACTTCACAATGAGAGAAAAACTACTTTTGACAAAGAAGGTTTAGTTGATACAAGACAATATTTTCTTGTCAATTTTAAAAAGCGTGAAATCTCCTGCTAAATAATTTTGATTTTAGGGTGAAAGAAAAAATTTTTCAAACAGGATGAGATTTTCTTGTCCCGAGAGAATTTTTAAGCGTTCTCACGACTAGAAATGATGTCCTTCCCATAAATCTATTTAGTTTGCGTTATTTCTAGAATTTTTTTTTGTCAGAACTTTAATTACTGTTGAAAGACTTCTTTCTCTCAGTGTGAAGACAAAATTATTTACCAGGTTTCAGTATTCAAGAAATTGACGAGAGAATATTTTCTTGTATCAAGGAAATCATCTTTGTCAAAACTCATTTTCTCTGTCAGTGTAAGTGCTATTTTAAGTGCATTTATAAGACGTAGATCCTCAATTAGAATGAAATCAACATGTTGTTTGATTCCAATAATGGATTATTAATAAATTTTTCCTCTTCGTCATGCAAAGAATTATCTCATTTCTAGCTAATGAAGTATTTATTAGTTGGAAATTATTCCTTATTTCTCGTTCATTTTGATGTGTTATATTCGGATATCTTCACATAGGAATCTTTACCGTGCAACATAGGGAGTGCTACTATGTAACATGGTACAGTTTACTATATCACATAGTAAACACTACTACGTAACAGTAATTATTCCTATGCCCATAGAAGCTGTTACCATTGAGGTACTTACCATGCCCCATATCAACCATCGGAAGCTTTACCATGTAACATAGTGAGCACTACTATGTAACATAGTACAGTTTACTATATTACATAGTGCAGTTTAGTATATTACATATTAAACACTGTCATTATGTAATAATCACCTGAACAGAGTTTCATGAGTTTTTTTAGTTTCATGTGTTACTATGTCTGTTATAATTACTATGTTACGTAGTAGTCCTTGCTATGTAATACATTAAACTGTACTATGTTAATATAATTATTCCTATGCCCATAGAACCTATACTACCATTGAGGTGGTTACCATGCCCCATAGTAACCATCACACCGTTCCATGATAGCCACTCCCATGGCCATAGTAATACTGACTAAACTTTGGTAAAGTTTACTATGTGCAGATTTCGAAATCAATGTTTACCATTTCATTTTCTCTCTGTATACTCTTTTCTCTTTAGTCTTATCGATAGTATTGCTTGTAATACACATCGAAGAAGTTTCTGCGAATTGTTCATTTCCGCTTGAAACGCATTCATAACAATCAATGCATCCACATTCGAGGGAAAATCCACTCCGATGACGTATACCGAGAGCGATGATCGATCAGTCTAGGTTACGAAACTTCGAGACCAGGTGGTGCTTTTCACGCGGATAAATAGCAAGCGTGTAAACACTGATTTACTTTGGATCCTCACGGCAATCCGCCATGCTTCATACATTTAACCAGCTCTGAAGACAGCAATCCTTTCAGGGGTAGAATAAGAAAACAGAGGGAAAGGAGGGGGGGGGGGATTCGAGAGAATTTGTGCCTCATCGCTCATCGGGTTGAAGACCACATAGGGTAACACGACGTTCCCACGAGATAAATTTATCCATCGATAGGGCAACTGACAGAGTTGTGACGGAAGAGTGACGAAAATTATCTTCTAATGTGTTTTTTTTTCCTTCTGGGGTTTTAGGGCGCTGGCCTTGATCTCAAGGAGAACCTAGGGGCCGGAGCAGCATGGCCATATCCCTCTGTTTATCATGCCTACGACCCTGCCTTCGCCAGCTATCCCTTCAATGGGTGAGTACAGATGTATATTCAATTACATACGAGTTAATGTTGTTATCGTTCTGTATATTAATGGTGTAGACTAATCAAAAGTAACAAAGTAGTCATCTGTCATTCGACACGGATTTTATCAACCATAACTCCAATACCAGTGTTTGATTCCAACTTGTCACTTCCTAGAAGTCTTGCAACGATCAATCGACAACTGAGTACGCCTAGAATCTTATCGAAAATGTCTTCCCGCGTATCTGCCGCGTCAGGGAGGTGGGGGCAAGGGTCAAAATCATCCGTCGCCTCGCACTGCCTTCTCTTGTGACAATATTTATCAGCATTTTTGATCATTTGTGTGGACCGAAAAATCCTACACTCGGCATGTTCGAAATTATTGGATGAATATTATTGGTCCGGGGAATGAGGGATATCGCGTGATAAGAATTGACGAGTAACACATAAACATTGTAATAAATTAGTCGTCACTTGACCCGAGTGTGCCAAGATGCTGACACTTTTTCATGCTATCCAGCGATGTCTCTCGCAATAATTGTATCTCAATGCGTGTTATGAGGAGGATAAACTGTTTGAGAGAGGTCGCGATTGTGATAAATCAATTTGGTGGTGAGATGACGGATGTAGAGTTAATTCTCCGGGTTTTCAAGTGAAACTATTGAGGAATGAGGAGTTTCGAGTGATGAGGAAACTTGTTGTTTCTGCGAGGNGGGGGGGGGGGAGAGTCCTTTATGGAGTTGGCGCAGTTCCGGCGGTAGGTGGGACAGGGGGGGAGGTCAGAGGGAAAGATCAGTGCGGCAGTCGACTAGACCGAATGGATGCTAAGCAAGCTGTAGTACCCGATCGTTTCCTTGCATACGAAGCAGCAAACACCGGAAGTGCGTCACATTTCTGCTCACAATGTTTCTCTCTTTCTCATTCTTCAACCATCCCGGTGTTATCCAATCCGTTGGATTTTCCATCAAGGTGTTGTTGCTACAAGTCCACTTGATGATGTTCAACCCACGCGCGCATTACCTTACTCGGGGGGTGAGCATGTGCCAATATTACTTATACCGTGAACGTGACTCCGAACTACTTCGAGACAATACGTGAGCCAAAGACACATCATCAGGATCCGGAAATATTTTAAATATTTTTCCGCTGTATTTAATTCTTCTGCTCGTTGATTTATGATACAGTGTTAAATATTTTTGCCTGAAAATTCTGATACATTTTTTGGAATTTTTTATCTAGTGACAGTTTTAGGGAATCTTCGAGAAATTTTGCAATTGAAAATTCACGATTGGATGGGATTCGGCTTAATTATTCTATGCAAATTTATGAAAATGAGGGAAATTAAATTTAAAAAAATGTTTTATTTCTAATTAATTAGAAGTTCAGCGTTTTGTTGGCAATTGTCGTCAAATGACAGTTTCATTACAATTTCATGGAGTTTCCTCATCGAAAATTCACAATTCTGTGAAAACAATAATTTGAAACCGTAAATTTCAGTTTAATTATTCCATGAAAATTAATAGAGATAACGAAAATATAAGTAAATGTATTTCTCAATTTTCAACGGAATGAAAATTCAGTTAGCGTACGCTGTTAAAAAATTTTGGCTGAAATTGCCGATACACTTCTTGGAAATTCTTATTGAGTGATAGTTCACGTGAAATTCCAAAGAATTGCGTCACTAAAAATTCGCGATTTGATGGAACAATCATTGGGAACTATAAACTATATAAACTTTGGTTCAATTATCCATGGAAATTCATAGGACTCAGCAAAATTCACGTGAGCAAATGTCCGCGATTGCGAGCATTGGAAATTAATGATCGATATATTAATTTAAGTTCTGAGATCCAAGTTTTTTTTTTTATGCTTATTTTATATCGCTTCGAGTCTGATGAGACTATATGGCGATTGATCAAGACTTTAAAAATGGTTAGATCTCACCATTTTACCCGGCCAGGAATCGAACCTGGAACCTATCCGTTGTGAGGCAACGGCCTTAACCACTACACCAGGCCACCGGGCCTGAGATCCAAGTTTGAAATTTATTAGTTATGACTGATATTTCCAATTGTTTCAGACTTGTCTAGCCAATATTAAAACATACTGTTGGGTTAGTTTTGAACTCTAAACTTTCTTGTTTCTAATTTCGTTAAATCGCTTGACTCGCTTCGTCCATTTGCTTTATTTTACTATTGTCATTACTATTTTGTTGTTTTTGTAGCAGGCACGCCTCAGCATAAATAATACCACGTATTATAATGCAGAAATAAATAAATGAAATAAAAAGAATGCAGTAGCAATTTCAGTTCGACTCCTCGACTTAGTCGTTGGAAGCGGTTTAGTTTTTGAGGAATATCTCCGAATCCAAGAGAGATAACGAAATTTTCAAAATAACCTTTATTGCAAGGCAAATTGAGGCCTACAAAAAAGATTGTGAGCAAAATTTTTCCATTTCCCTTAGATTTCGAGATATTCATTGATAATTGACCAATAGTCAAAATCGACTTCAACCGCTGTACCGCTTCGCTATTGAATGAATTGTCAATTAATACAAAATTCAAGTATAAAAATTCTCTTCTTTCTTCTGCTTACAACAAACTTGAATTTCCTGTAAAATTTTAAATTTCACTATTTTTTTCCCCAAAAATCAATTAAATATGGCTCTCTTGAAAGTTACTACTAAACTGGCCATGAAATTACCATTTCTCCCGAACAGTATACTTCACCTTCCTTATTCTCAATTTATGTATTTTATTCGAATTGAAAAGGACGTTTGTCATCTTGGGAAAATTACGACAACGAGAATACTAAATTTTATTGACACTAAATGTTTCAACAATGAATTTGAATTGACTATCTCAAACTTCTTTCCGCCGTCGGAATTATTCAATTTCTAATACTCACCTTCCTTGTTGTTAATTTATCGATTTTATTCAAATTAGTAAGCCGTTTGTCATCTTCCAAAAATTACGCAAACAAAAATCGTCAATTTAATGGATAGTAAATGGTTCACCAACGAATTAACTAAATTTATTTCTGCGATAACGATGGAACCCATTAAAACCTCGAAAAATTAAACTTCATGAATGTTTATCACTCATCACGTGTAACCGAGTTAAATAATCATTGCTAATCAGTGGTATCATTGTTATGTACTTATTTCATGAGAACTCAAATGAGTTAGTGACTCATAGAAATAAATTAACCAGAGTAAAGAGTTGAAAAAAAGGGAAAAAAATCTAGGAGAAAATGTTGCCCATTGTTCTACACTAAAGCGAATTTTGCAAATTGAGAACACGGCGTTAACGATTACGTGCACTGGTTCCAAGTTGGAATTATCATAATGTATTCCCTCATGTTTCCGTTTTTTCCCTCTTTTTTTCAACTTCTCTTTTTTTTGCAAAAATACCTGCTACATAATCCGGAATTTAGCGTGTGCGATCGACGAACTCGTTACGTAAATTCATGATCGTTTACAACATAAGTGCTTGGCAAATTCATTGATTAAAACCCACTTGAGGAAGGTAAAAACTAACGAAGCAGGGAGAAGTTGTACACGGAGAGAATTAAATAGTAAAAATCATCATGACCATGGGGGAGAATGCTATGTCCCACGGTATGCTTACCATGTGACATGGTAATGCTTACTATATTTTATAGTAAAATTGTAGAGGAGTCAAATTCAAAAAAACTACCTCGTAATTGTTATTGTACCCATTTTTTAATAAATTTCGAAAAAAAAACCTCTGTAGCTCAAAAATTGGAGGTTCTGGACTATTTTACATATTTTAAGCTTCTGCGGGGCAAACTAAAAATGAACAATTAATTTCTTTGCACTAATTGTTCGTGTTCAGACATCTATAATCGACCTTCAATGTGAAAAATCTCACTTCAATAGCCCGCGGCTTTTAAAACTCATAGTAGAACTTGCTATGTAACATAGTAATCATTGCTATGTCCATACACTGTTAGAAATTTTTTGAAATTTCATGGGAAAAATTATAGTAATTCTCATGAGAGTGACATTGAATCGGGTTTAGGGGAAAAATGGTTATGAAATTTCAAGTTTTACGTAGAATTCAACGAAATTCATGAGCTTTCTGTGCAAGTGACATGGAAATTTCACAATTTGATTGAATTTCTAATGGAACATGAATAGAAAATTCCGAAAGAAAATTTTCAATTTTTCCTTGAATTTTCCTGATTTTTCTAAATTTTCACGAAATAATTTAACTGAAAAATCGAGTATTTTACTGATTTTCAAATCATTCGGACAGAAAATCAATGGAATATTTGATTTTTCAATGGGAATATTTCCTGAAATTTCAGTGAAAATTAAACACAATAAAAATTTCCAGGGTTTGGCACAGAAAATTCAGATGGAAATGTTTAACAGCGTAGGACCTAAATTTCTTGAAAATTCAGTCACAGCGCCATCTGAATTTTGGATGTTGTGAGGTTGAATTCAATTTCAAATGAAAGCATTCACTAAACTTTTTGATTTTAAACAATCATTGATGTTTCAATGAAAGCTTGAATTCCGAAACTCATCGTGGAAATTGAACATCACATACAATTCCATTTTCACTAGATTGAGAATTCAGAAAAGTTGTTGACTGAATTTTCAAAATTTTCAAGGTTTTTCAGTGCCGTATAGACCTGAAAATGGAGAATTATTTGAATATTCAAGAAAATAACTGACCCGTCAAGGAAGAAATAATCAGAAATTTCATGTAACTTTGTCGTTATTAAAAATTTCCAGCTTTTTCACTTGAAATTTCAAAAGTAATTTTTGAATAGTGTATTACCTTTGAGGAGCTGACTATGTCGCATAGTAACCATTACTATATTCCGTGGTAGCCATTACCATGTCAATAGTAGTACTTACCAAACTTTGGTAACGTTTATTTTCTCCGTGTAAAAATTGAAAAGAAATGGAGGTAATAATGCAACGTTGGCATGTGTACGGGACGCGAGGTCGTTGGGATCGTGGCGGGTCAACGGCT